ACCTGATTGTAGGCCGAGTTTCTGTTCTGAACCAAACCTGTAGAGGTCCCACAGACTTGGCTACAAATCACATGGACAAGATGAAAACAATCAATGACATTGACACTGTACTTAGGAAAGGGAATGGACATTTACATTTTCTTGAAACCAAAGGCCTTTCCCTTTACTACTTTTTCTTTTATGCCATTTTTAAATTAGATTGTACTGAGAAGTACCTAATGTAAATAGGCAGAAGAGAAATACCTATAAAAGGAAAGATATTTTTCTATCAGATTTCTTTTTTTGTAATTGAAATTATTGATTTGTGTCATGTTTACAAGAGGTCAACGTGTCTTAGGAATGGGAACGGGATTGTTTGTCATATGGTATTTGAAAAGTACTGCTACTGATTGTTTTTTTCTGGATTAAAAGGTGGTTATCTAAGAATCCATGTACTTGAATTATAAAGAGGAGACAAAAAAATAAAAGCATTCATAAAAGCAGCCTTGAGTTTGTCCTAGTCTCTGTAGACATCCGTGTTGTCTCCCGCAATTTTCAAATGCTCCGGCTTGTCACTGTTGCCTAGGGTCTGGTTTTCAAGACTAAGTTTGTCCAAGGAGGATCTTTATTTATAAAAGGAATCTTAATACTGAGCTGTACTAAAGTAAAGATTGTGCTGCAGCACAGCTGAGCAATATAGCCAGTACTTTTGTGTCTGAGAATATTTGCTTGTGCATATTTGTGGACTGATAGGTTTCTTTGTGTATGCCAATGTGAGAACATTTGCATGTCTCTTTGCAATGTGTATTTGCATTTGTGTAAAAAAGAAATGTATTCATCTAGCTTTACATGTTATGTGGTTACCTTTTTTAAAGAGGGTCAAGGTCGAATGTTTATCAACCTTTTTACTCATGAACTGGAGGTTCTAGTTTACAGGCAAGAAATACTTATTTTTCGTGTGTAGTTCATAGGTCATTGTGTGAGAGAGCATGTTATGACTGAAAGGAACATGATTTTTGGTAGGTGTTGGACTTGAAATATTCGCATACAGTCAGAATCGCTGCCTATGTATTCATGTTCTGGCTAAAGCAAAGCTGACACCTGAGGGGAGGGAGAGTGTTTTATGAAAGGCGTTTATGTAGAAGAGTGCTTTTCCTGTTTATTAAGTATTTTAATTACTGCGTTTTGTGTCCACATTTGTAGTGGGAAAACAGCATTGGAGCTTTGTTTTGGCCCAAGATATGTGAGTGGGCCCTCAGGAATGTAGCACAGTGCTCAGCTCTATGAACTGAACCCAGTTGTTTGGCGTAAGAAGAGGCTTTGTCAATATTGACCTACTTCAACTGCTGTGCGAGGTGGATTTTATTATCCTTTCCTGTAAATGAGAAGGGATAGTTACAACAGGAAATTGATATGACTCCCTTTTCCTGTCAATTATTGACACTTTTCCAGAGCAAGGGGTAAAGTTGCATTTTGATTTTTTATATATATAGTCAGTTGCAGACAGTGAAAATCTGGAATATTTTTTGTGGCAGATTCATTTTGTGTTTTTCCATTACAAAATGCCACATACTGAAAACTTTGTGATCCACTGTAAACACTGGCTGTTTTGTTTTCCGATTGCAACTAACCCCTAAAACTAATGGATTAACACACATTGAAGCCAAGGGTAAAAAATACCACACGGCTTTCTACTAAGAGCATGTTCTGGACCCTACTGTGTAATGTCATAAGCCTTGCATATCAATTACGCTCAGATGCGCAACATATCACCCATTTAATTGATATACCTGCTGTTAGACCTATTTTTAGCTAAAGGTATTTTAAGGATTTCAAGCTTTGTTTGAAAACGATGCACATCCACACACTGAGCTACAATCATAACATTACCAATGGGAGAGTCATCAATTTTGTAAATGCATCTCTCTTTCTCTCTCACTGCCACGCACCCCATCTAATTTTAAATGAAAGGCTCTAAAGCTGCACAGCCTCACTCTCAATGGTAATTTGACCTTTAATAACCACAGATTTCAGACCGACCGAGACACACAATATACTCCCATTTACCTGGTATGATATTTATCTTCTTGGTACTACGGAACCATGAGGTTACTATATGAGCTGTGTGGTTTGTAAAATCCTACTCAAACTGTTTATACATTGTACTTTGACAAACTGCCTAAAGTAATAGTATCACTTCCATTAGGGAAACAGGTGAAAGTACCTGATGTGAGTGCAAGGACAGTGTCACGTCCGCTTGAGTGACAGCTCAGATCGTTTGCCCCAGGTAACAGTGTTCACTGTACTTTACAGGTTGACAGGTGATTTCCTATCAACCAGCTGCAGTATTTAAACTTTCTATGCTGCAGTTTAGTGACACAGTAGCAAAAAACACTTAATGTGACTAATGGGATAACATTTTAATTAGTTATTTTCACCTCCCATGAGCAGGTTTCCTGCCGCAGTGCCAGGGTGTCCAGGAACACATAGGCGGAATTCCCAGGAAATCCTAAAAAATATTGTCATTCATGTGTGCATGTATCTCCAGTAGGCCCATTCACTGGAACCACTAACAAGGGAAGATGGTCTGAAGGGCAAACAATTCTCTCATCTTACATTAAACTATTTGTGAATCAGGACTGGTCTTATCTGGTCCATCGATGGTATGGATGGATAGCTCATAGTCAAAGCTGTACTACCTTCATGTTGATGTTCTAGCAGTCAGGATATACATTACTCAACAAAGATATGCACACAGAGAAATATTCTGTTCAATGAGAACTTGTTTACTATAAACCAGCATTTCCCAAACTCGGTCCTGGGGACCCCAAGGGATGCATGTTTTGGTTTTTGCCCTAGCACTACACAGCTGATTCAAAGAATGAAATCATCAAGCTTTGATTATTTGAATCGGCTGTGTAGTGCTAGGGCAAAAACCAAAACGTGGGGGTCCCACGGACCGAGTTTGGGGAACCCTGCAAACAATGTGTCTGCTTAGAGTAATGCACTATAGTACCTCTCATTATTGCTGTTGCAGACACTCATCATCCCAGAGACAGTGTAGCTCTAAATGGACTAGTTGGTGCCATTTACCTTCAATGGATCGATCGTGTGCATAAACACCTGGGCCCCAGATCTGCCAGTCGGCAAGAGAGAGACAGAGACAGTGAAATGTTAGCCTTGCCAACCCTGATATGCATTGATCTGTTTGTCCCCTGTTCTGTCTGAGGATATTGATCTTTAGATGGTCATTAGTAATGCCTCTGTTCATTGTGTTAAGATTAATTTAATAACAAATAATTTGCTTTTAGTTTGATTTCTTAAAATACCATATACCTAAATATCAATTATTGCTAGAGGGATTACTGACAGGGTCAACTACTATCTTCTCAATTGGATAGCTCAATCCAGATGGTCTATGATCAATCTTTCCACTATCTGAAATGTAGATGCCAACTGTATTAGTCAATAATTTTAAGACCATAAAAAAAGCAACGTTTTGAGCCTTGAACAAAGCTTTAAATTCAGGGTTTGTTTTTGATTGCCCTGGTATGTGAGAAGTGTGCAGAAGGGCATGAGACAAAGGAATGTGTAGCATGGTGTGTGCTAATTGTAGGGGTGCCCATGGGGCTGGGGATCAGAAACGTCCTGTGCGAGAGAGGCAGGTTGAGGTTTCCAGGGTAAGAGTAGTGAAGAAGTTGTCATATGCTGAGGCAGTGAAAAAAGTAGAGGAAGATATGTACCAGTACAGAGGAATAGGCCAACAACATTTTTACATTTTAGTCATTTAGCAGACGCTCTTATCCAGAGCGACTTACAGTTAGTGAGTGCATACATTTTTCATACTGGCCCCCCGTGGGAATCGAACCCACAACCCTGGCGTTGCAAGCGCCATGCTCTACCAACTGAGCTACAGGAGGCCCAGTGATATATGTTTCAGTAAGATTTGATTTTTTGCGTTTATAGCAATGGTTATTAATTGTACTGCAGGGATGGAACGTAAGTCGAAGAAAATTGAGGTTGTGGTGGCAGCTGCAGAGAGGTATTTGGGTGTGCGAGACTTGACATCAGAAGAGTTACAGGGAGTGTTAAGTGGTGATGTCCCATCATTTCAGGTTGAGGGCATGAGGTAGGAATGAATATTTTTAAATAGTGGAGTAGGGTGGTGTTAATTATTAATAATATTTTTGAATTTGTGAGTGTAGTGTTAGATGGTAGGGTATTTCTTTATTTTATTTTTCAAGCAAAATATCAGGGAGTTGTACACCAGTCTAGTAGGTGGCGGTAATGCAATAAATTGGATAACAACCGCCGTAAAACCTAATCGAAGAAGAAGATTACCCTGGCACGTCAACAGCACACTGTCCGTGGATTGGCTGCGCAAAACCAGACTCAGACCAACGAGAGTAAAGAGCGCGGGGACATGGAAATAGCTCGACAACAACATCCGACCGTGTCAAAAAATGACTAGCTAGTTAGCCAGTCAAATATTTACCAGCATATCAAAAATATGCTCAATAACCTGCTAGTTAGCTGACTCACTTTACTAAGAGGTGAAAATGCTTGTTGCATATTAACATTAATTGCCATAATCATGTCGCTGGGTGCGTCAAATATGTGTCCCACTCAGAAAAGGACACTCTCGTGTCTCCTCGGTAAGTTGGCAAGATGGCTAGCTAGCGGTAGCTTTGCACCACAACCCCAGGTTTTGAACTGGGTAGTTAGCTAGCTATCTACTACCCCATTCATAGACGTGAACCGCTTTAGCGCCTATTGACGATAGTAGCGGTGCTAATTAGCTATCTGCGTTTCGGAACACGTATGTAAACAGAAGACGGACGCCACAAACGTATTGTCATTGTCACTGAAAAATACTGTCGACTGCAACTTTGTTAAAAACCGGTTAAAACAGTGACAGTGTACATTCCGTGGCCTCCGCTTGATCTTGACCCATATCTTGACTCAAAACCCTAACCAACCATTCATTGTCAAATACTTTACCTGGCTTACAGATTTTTATAATGATAAAACAACACAGTGTTGATCCTCCCACAGCAGGGCGTGTTGGGAAGAGGCCAAAGCAGGAGAATGCACAGGAGCTGCAGGAGGCAGCAGTCCAGCTGCTGAACAGACACCAGAACCTCTCAGATCTGTTTCTGGAAGTGGGGGTGAGTGAATGAGTCCAGTCTAGACTGGGATGGAGTCAGTGGACTGTGGTAGCAAGGGGCACTATACATAACATTTTGTGCCCTAAATTAGACGTGTCAGATTTAGACAAGTTACTTACTTTATCCTCTTCTAGAGTCCAAATCCTTGCAATTTCATTCGCAAAGAGAACTCTGGACAGAAAAATGCAGCCAGTGAAAGGCCGTCACCTACAATTGGGGGTTCACTTCTGGGTGAGTTTTTAGGATATATCCCCTCCATGAAGGTAAATACTCTCAATGTGTCAGTGGTGTATGTACTAGAATGCTACACTGTGTGTGTGAGATAAGTATGTAGAAATTGAAGTGATCAGTGTGTCTGTGTCTTTTTTTCTTCAGTAAATGAGTTGAGGAGGAAGGCTGGGGAGCTGGGGGTCCCGGTGGCAGCCCTGTCAGTGAAGATGGTGGTAGAAAGACTGTTGGACCTGACCAAAAGAGACAGAGAGCAAGTGATGCTCAACTCAACTCAAAGGGTTTGTGCTGGGAATAATGTCTGGATATGCATCTACAGTCCCAGTCAAAAGTTTGGACACACCTACTCATTCCAGGGTTTTTCTTTATTTTTACTATTTTCTACATTGTAGAATAATAGTGAAGACATCAACATTATGAAATAACACATGGAATCATGTAGTAACCAAAAAAGTGTTAAACAAATTCTTCAAAGTAGCCACCCTTTCATAATGTAAAAAAAAAAAAAAATCTGAACATAGTTTATTAGGTACACTACCCTGTTCATGAAAAAGGATCGCTCCTACAGACAGCGAGTCACGTGGCCGTGGCTTGCTATATAAAGCAGGCAGACAGACATCGATGCGTTCACTTACTGTTCGATTGAATGTTAGAATGGGCAAAAGGAGTGACCTAAGCGACTTTGAGCGTGGTATGATCGTCATTGCCAGGCGTGGCGGATTCAATATCTCAGAAACAACCGCCCTCTTGGGCTTTTCGCCCACGACAGTGTCTAGGGTTTACAGAGAATGGTGCGACAAACAAAAAACATCCAGTCAGTGGCAGTCCTGTGGGCGAAAACAGCTTGTTGATGAGAGGTCAAAGGAGAATGGCAAGAATCATGCAAGCTGACAGGCGGTCCACAAACAGACAAATAAGGGCGCAGTACAACAGTGGTGTGCAGAACGGCATCTCGGAACGTTGATTGTTGATCCTTGCCACTGATGGGCTATTGCAGCAGACGACCACACTGGGTTCCGCTCCTATCAGCTAAAAACAAGAAGAAGCAGCTCCAGTGGGCACACGATCACCAACACTGGACAATTAAGGAGTGGAAAAACATTGGCTGGTCCGACAAATCCCAGTTTCTGTTGCGTCATGCTGATGGCAGAGTCAAGATTTGGCCTAAGCAGCATGAGTCCATGGACCCATCCTTCCTGGTGTCAACGGTACAGGCTGGTGGTGTACTGGTGTGGGGATTGTTTTCCTGGAACACGTTAGGTCCCTTGATGCCAATTTAGCACCGATTGAACGCCACAGCGTATCTGAGCATTGTTGCTGACCAAACCCAATAGAGCAGGGATGGGCAACTTTGATGGGGGTGGGTGCCACAAAAAAACTGAACTCATCATGAGGGGCCGCAGTGGCTCGTGGGTCTGCGTACCCACATCCATGGGGGGGCATGGCAAAATGAGTAGAATTGCATGAAATTAGTTATACAATTGCAAAATCTTCTCTCCGCCCCATGGCAATTCTGCACGTTTTGCCATGGGGTGTAGAGAAAATCGGACAGTTTTAAAGCAAGTTTGCTGCAATTTTACACATTTTACCATGGGACGGAGAGAAGATTTAGCAATTTATAACTCATTTCATGCAATTTTACTCATTTTGCCATGGGGCGGAGAGAAACATTTGCAGTCTTTAATATGATAACTGATGATCAATGGGCGGCCGTGCTTACTACAAGTTTAGAAAGCTGGCCGCTAGACTAACTTACCAAGAAATAAAAAATGGGTGTACCTAATAAACTGTATATTGTATGGAAAAGAGATGTACATTTCTTTTTACAAATAACAAATAATTAAAGAGCAGCAGTAAAATAACAGTAGCAAGGCTATATACAGGGTGTACCGGTACAGAGTCAATGTGCGGGGCCACAGGTTATTTGAGGTAATTGAGGTAATATGTACATGTAGGTAGAGTTAAAGTGACTATGCATAGATAATAAACAGAGAGTAGGAGCATCATGCCTGGTTGTGTTCATGCCATTAAAAGGTAATACATTTTTACAGTTAAATGACATGTACAGTGGGGAGAACAAGTATTTGATACACTGCCGATTTTGTAGGTTTTCCTACTTACAAAGCATGTAGAGGTCTGTAATTTTTATCATAGGTACACTTCAACTGTGAGAAACAGAATCTAAAATCCAGAAAATCACATTGTATGATTTTTAAGTAATTAATTTGCATTTTATTGCATGACATAAGTATTTGATCACCTACCAACCAGTAAGAAATTCCGGGTCTCACAGACCTGTTAGTTTTTCTTTAAGAAGCCCTCCTGTTCTCCACTCATTACCTGTATTAACTGCACCTGTTTGAACTCGTTACCTGTATAAAAGACACCTGTCCACACACTCAATCAAACAGACTCCAACCTCTCCACAATGGCCAAGACCAGAGAGCTGTGTAAGGACATCAGGGATAAAATTGTAGACCTACACAAGGCTGGGATGGGCTACAGGACAATAGGCAAGCAGCTTGGTGAGAAGGCAACAACTGTTGGCACAATTATTAGAAAATGGAAGAAGTTCAAGATGACGGTCAATCACCCTCGGTCTGGGGCTCCATGCAAGATCTCACTTTGTGGGGCATCAATGATCATGAGGAAGGTGAGGGATCAGCCCAGAACTACACGGCAGGACCTGGTCAATGACCTGAAGAGAGATGGGACCACAGTCTCAAAGAAAACCATTAGTAACACACTACGTCATCATGGATTAAAATCCTGCAGCGCACGCAAGTCCCCCTGCTCAAGCCAACGCATGTCCAGGCCCATCTGAAGTTTGCCAATGACCATCTGGATGATCCAGAGGAGGAATGGGAGAAGGTCATGTCGTCTGATGAGACAAAAATAGAGCCTTTTGGTCTAAACTCCACTCGCCATGTTTGGAGGAAGAAGAAGGATGAGTACAACCCCAAGAACACCATCCCAACCGTGAAGCATGGAGGTGGAAACATCATTCTTTGGGAATGCTTTTCTGCAAAGGGGACAGGACGACTGCACCGTATTGAGGGGAGGATGGATGGGGCCATGTATCGCGAGATCTTGGCCAACAACCTCCTTCCCTCAGTAAGAGCATTGAAGATGGGTCGTGGCTGGGTCTTCCAGCATGACAACGACCCGAAACACACAGCCAGGGCAACTAAGGAGAAGCATCTCAAGGTCCTGGAGTGGCCTAGCCAGTCTCCAGACCTGAACCCAATAGAACATCTTTGGAGGGAGCTGAAAGTCCGTATTGCCCAGCGACAGCCCTGAAACCTGAAGGATCTGGAGAAGGTCTGTATGGAGGAGTGGGCCAAAATCCCTGCTGCAATGTGTGCAAACCTGGTCAAGACCTACAGGAAACGTATGATCTCTGCAATTGCAAACAAAGGTTTCTGTACCAAATATTAAGTTCTGCTTTTCTGATGTATCAAATACTTATGTCATGCAATAAAATGCAAATGAATTACTTAAAAATCATACAATGTGATTTTCTGGATTTTTGATTTAGATTCCGTCTCACACAGTTGAAGTGTACCTATGATAAAAATGACAGACCTCTACATGCTTTGTAAGTAGGAAAACCTACAAAATCGGCAGTGTATCAAATACTTGTTCTCCCCACTGTATGTTACTATTAGGCCCATAAAAATAATTTGGTGGTCCCGTACCAGGAAGGAATTACATCTACTTTCACCCCTGCCTATAGGACTATTGTTTGAGAGGTTTTACATAGCCTATGCCTTTATGAATGTTCACTGCCCTCTGTCCAGGTCCAGCTCTCCGTGCTGTTCCAGTCAACCCGTGAGCTTCTCTCTCTTGAAGCCTTCTGCTCTAAACTCTTCTGGCAGGAGTACTGGAGGGATCAGGTGAGTGTGTGCACACAGACCAGACTCTTGTCTTTATACAGCCAATGCCATACCTTCGGGTTTTGGCAGTTTGAGCCTATTGTAGATGTTTCGTATACCTGTTTGTGTGTACATGACAGTAGCTACAGTTTGTTTCCATGAACTTGTCCAGTGATTTTGTTATTTTTTGTAGACATTTAGAAAGTTCGCATAGAAAATAGATGCGACAATTGCCTGTTACGGTACGTTTCCATTTATCTGTCTTGTGTCGATTTAAAAACATCTGGACGTAATGATGTCACACACGCAAAAAACTTTTTTGCAAAAACCTAGTTCACTGGAGTGTTGAATAAAAATGGTTGGTGTGTTTCCAATATCCATTTAGGCAAATTGCGCATTAAGAAATTGGTGACAGCCTGTATGCCCTCCCACCTGTCTGATTCATGTCCCACAAAAGCCAGCATGGATAGAATGCAAGAATTGATTTGCCATATTCTAATAATTCTCATGTGCCAAAGTATCGCCATGGTCCGTGCCATGGTGAAACTTGCATCCAGAAAAGTAAGGCGAAGCAATTCATTCAATCTTGAAAGTCAGGACAATCCTTGTCCTGCAAATAAACATAATTTTTATAGTACCTTCAGAATTATATACGAAAATCATAATTTATTTGAAAAACACTTTCCATTATTTGTCGCAAATAAAGTTAGACACAAAATAAATCCACCCCTGGCAAACAAATAAATGTTGTCGATCTTTAGAACATTTCTCCTATAGCTGCCGTTTCCATTACACATGTCGTAATGTAATGTAATGTAAATAATTTTTTGTGACATTGCTTTTGTCTAATGAACCTGGGTCATGGAAACCTGCCTAGTGACTTCCTTCCCTGATCCTTGTGTAGAAACAGCCCATGCTGGAGGTGGTGCACCACTTACACACTCAGAATATCCTCTCTCTGGAATACATGTTGGAAAGGTATCTGACGTTCTAGCTAATAGCTACACACTATGTTAAACAATGGATGAGATTCTGTGTGTTGTGGGATTCAAAAGCATTTCAGATTGTGTTTCTATCCCACATATCTAATTTCAATCTATTAATTGCTCTGCTATTAATCGATTCATATTTCACACGGGCTCTTATTGCAGTGAGAATGGGGTGAGGTCATGGTTGATGTCTGAGTTGAGGGCTCTGTGTGGTAGGACAGCTACTGAGGAGGGAGATGGAGTGCCTCAGCAGGTTCTCTCAAGTAAGCCTTTACAGTAGAGTTTCTCATCCATCATGGTGAACCAATACTATGTATACACATCTATTCTTATCTGACATTCACCTCACCTCAGTCTGCCTGTGTTGTGTCCATGATTCAGCTGTGGTAACTGTGTTGGTGCGAGCTGTTTTTGAGGAAACCCAGGACTCTGCAGCAGCACCATGCAGGAGGCTCTCCCAGGTGTGCCGTTCAGTGCTGGATGACATGCTCTCCTGTGAGTATACAATCCCCCTCTCATTGCAGCTCAAAGCTGCATTCAATAGACAGAGACTTTATCTTGTCCAACTGCTAAGATTCCTTTGTTAACCTTTGTGATATTATGTTTGTCCATTATTTTTCAGGGGTACTGGATACTTTGGATAGCAAGCAGACCCTGCAGTCTGGTGAAACAGCAGCTGAATTATGGTAAAGGGGAAAAGGCTGCTAACCAAACTGAATTATAGAACAGGCATAATAATCCATATTCACTCTTTTATGTCTCTCTTTCTGTTTGAAAAGGGTACAGATGTTTGACGCTTCCTTGTGTGGTGTGTCTGTATCACCTGATGCACTGCGCCGTTTCTTCACCCACTCTCTGACACACACTCTCACCTACAGACCTAGACTCAAAGGTAAGATCACATAACATATTATCATTGACATATCTCTTTTAATATAGGTTCTCTTGTAAAACAGCTACATATGTTGTCAAGTTCTATCTCATCCTGTCATCTGAGTATTCTCCTCGACCTGTATTGTCTGTAGTATCTGATGCCATTGCCATGCAACGAGAGTGGGGCTTTGCTAAAACCTGCAGACTGTTGAGCTCCTTGTTTCGTAAGGTAAATGACTTGTGCTTTGCTCTACTCTGTTCTAAAGAAACATCTAAATACCTTTATACATCTATAAATAGATTAACCTGTCTGGTTAATTTGAGCTGCTCTTCAAAATATGTATTTTCTTATGTAGTTGTTTGTGTGGGTGTGACTGAACATATACATCAGAAAGGGAATGATAATATCCCTGTGGGTGTGATTTATGACATGGTGTTTTAGGGGACATTGTGATCTTGTGTGAAAGTACAATAGGATGTGTTGATTGTATTATCTACATTGACATACTATTGACGTTTGAAACATGTACCATTTCCTTTGTGAATTTGCCCAAAGTGTGGGAATGCTGGATACAAGGATAAGGCGAACAAATTATATATTTAAAGGTTTATTAGACAAACAGACAGACATATGCATATGAGGTTTGTAGTAATCTGCCAACCTACTCAAGGGCAGGCATAAATACTCTTGCTTATCTGTTTGTTCTCCAAGTGTTCCAGGCCCCTTGCCTGATGACTCAAACTGAATTATTCTGCTGCTCTATGTTCGCTACATACAGTGCCTTCAGAGAGTATTCACACCCCATGACTTTTTCCACATTTTGATGTTACAGCCTGAATTTAAAATTGATTAAATATAGATTTTTTTGTCTCTGGCCTACACACAATAACTAATAATGTCAAAGTGGATTTATGTTTTTGGAATTGTTTACAAATTCTTAAAAAATGAAAAGCTGAAATGTCTTGAGTCAAGTATTCAACCCCTTTTATTATGGCAAGCCTAAATAAGTTCCAGAGTAAAAATGTGCTTAACAAATCTGATAATAAGTTGCAAGGCCTCACTCACTGTGTGCAATAAGTGTTTAACATGATTATTGAATGACTAACTAATCTCTGTACCCCACACATACAATTCTCTGTAAGGGCGATCAGTGAATTTCAAACACAGATTCAACCACAAAGAACAAGGAAGTTTTCTAATGCCTCACAAAGAAGGGCACCTATTGGTAGATGGGTAAAAAAACAAAAAAAAAACAGACATTGAATATCCCTTTGAGCATGGTGAAGTTATTAATTACACTTTGGATGGCGTATCAATACACCCAGTCACTACAAAGATACAGGCGTCCTTCCTAACTCAGTTGCTGGAGAGGAAGGAAACCGCTCAGGGATTTCACCACGAGGCCAATGGTGACTTTAAAACAGTTAGAATTTAATGGCTGTGATAGGAGATAACTGAGGATGAATCAAACAACATTGTAGTTACTCCACAATGCTAACATAAATGACAGAGTGAAAAGAAGGCTGTACAGAATATAAATATTCAAATATATGCATTCTGTTGGCATCAAGGCACTAAAGTAATACTGCCAAAAATGTGGCAAAGCAATTAGCTTTTTGTCCTGAATACGAAGTGTTGTGTTTGGGTTAAATCCATCACAACACATTACTGAGTACCACTCTCCATATTATCAAACATAGTGGTGGCTGCATCATGTTATGGGTATGCTTGTAATCGTTAAGAACTGGGGAGTTTTTCAGGATAAAAAAGAAACTGAATGGAGCTAAGCACAGGCAAAATCGTGGTCTACGGTTGTGAGGCCGGTTGGGCGTACTGCCAAATTCTCGAAAACAACGTTGGAGGTGGCTTATGGTAGAGAAATTAACATTAAATGATCTGGCAACAGCTCTGGTGGACGTTCCTGCAGTCAGCATGCCAATTGCACGGCCCCTTAAAACTTGAGACATCTGCGTCATTGTGTTGTGTCAATACTACACATTTTAGAGTGGCCTTTTATTGTCCCCAGCACAAGGTGCACCTGTGTAATGGTCATGCTGTTTAATCAGCTTCTTGATATGCCACACCTGTCGGGTGGATGGATTATCTTGACAATGGATAAAATGCTCACTAACAGGGATGTAAACTAATTTGTGCATAACATTTGAGAGAAATACGATTTTGTGCATATCTCTGGGATCTTTTATTTCAGCTCATGAAACATGGGACCAACACTTTACATGTTGCGTTTATAGTTTTGTTCAGTACATTTCAATTGACTAATCTGCTTATATGAACTGTAACTCAGTAAAATCTTTGAAATTGTTGCATGTTGCGTTTATATTTTTGTTCAGTGTGTTTTATTTTACAAATGTTAGATTTTTTCTTCCACTTTGACAGAATTATTGTGTTGTGTAGATTGTTGACAAAAAATGTACATTCAATCCATTTTAATCCCACTTTGTAACACGGCAAAATGTAGAAAAGCTCAAGGGGTGTGAATACTCTCTGAAGGCACTGTACTTCAATCTGAGACTGCCGTCATTGAAGTCGTTTGTGGTGATGTGAAAATGAGGTGTGTTGTACAAAACAAAGTAATCAGCCATAAGATCATTTCTAACCAATAAGAGTATCAAAGTCAAAATGTGTGTTCAGGCTCTGGCCCAACTCATCGGTTTCTGGGACCAGTGGCAACGGTTAGAATGTGTTTGTGTTCTAGAAATTATCGGAAGGTCCTCAGATCCAGACTCATTGCGGAGAAGAAACGAACGTCCGTGGGTGTGGCTTAGCGTTTGGCCAGAGCAGGGAGTTTGGGGAGCCAGGCAACCCCTGGTCAAAACATTATTCAAGGTTGTCGAGACCACTTGGGTCAGAGTGAGCCGTATATTAGATGTCTCTATCATTTGACACCACCGATGACAGAATTTACAGCCATTTGCCCATGGTCTCAGGGAGATCACCTAGAGGTCACCTAGGATACCAGGTTCTGCTTTATGGTAACTCCTAACCTCTTGGAAGTCACTCAGGGGCTGAGTTCAGATTTAAGATGGGGCAATAATTTAGATCTTCTTAACATAACCTATGAAAGCAATTCCTTTTCATGGCTCCAATCCATTTAGTAATTGACCTGTAAAACCGGTCTATAGAATAACAAGTGTAAACCTTATATTGGAGAGTTGTGAAGTGACTGTCTCTGTGGTGTAATACAACATCCAGCCCTTTCTCTTTGTCTTTGTCCTAGTTGTCAGTGATATTCAAGGTAGATGAGCTTCTCTCTCACCTGCAGCAAGTACTGGAGACTCATGAGGTTAACTGGCAGCATGTGCTCTCCTGTCTCTCCACCCTGCTGGTGTACAATCCAAACGCCCAGCCTAGCCTAAAAGGTACACACAATTCAAATCAAAATCAAAGTTTATTCATCACGTGCACAGGATACAGTGGGTGTAAATGGTACACTGAAATGCTTACAAGCAGCTCTTCCTTAATAGTGCAGAATAAATGTAAAGTAGCAGCGCACACACACACTTAATTATTTCCAACAACACTTGTATGACATTTATCTTTCTCTGTACCTCAGAGCTGCTGTCCAGGCTCCTAAGCTCAGCGTTTGAGGGGTATGACTTGGAGAACATGATCACAGCCTTCCTCCTGGCCCGTCAGGGTGCGCTTGAAGGGCCTGGTGTTTTCCCCTCCTACAGCGAGTGGTTTAAGGCAAGTCCCCTCAGAGCTTAGTCAGTGGCTACTAGAATATAATTTAATGGTCCCTTCCTTATGTTTGTCTCTTTCCAATAGTTGGCTTCTCTCCTGTCTTCCTAGATGTCTTTCGGCGGTGCTAGCAGTTACCACGGCAACAGTAAGAAGTCTTTGGTGTTCCTGCTAAAGTTCCTGTCGGACCTGGTGCCCTTTGACCCCCCACAGTACCTGAAGGTCAGGTGACAGACACTGTTTGGCTCTACTTTAACACTTTACTGCTGGACTGGGCCTAAGTCTAAGTGGTTCTGACGGCTAATGTCTCTGGATGGTCTGGTCTCTCAGGTCCACATCCTCCATCCGCCCTACGTGGCAGTGAAACACCGGGCCCTACTGCAGGAGTATGTATCCCTGACCAAGACCAGACTGGCTGACCTGAAGGTAGGGCCTAGAGTCACTGAACCAGTATTTGATGGTATTGATGGTACATAGACAGGCTGAGCGACATAATACAGTTATTACAATGTAACTAACTCGGACTGGTTGACGTGCCATACCACAAATCCTCTCATCATGCAGCCAATTCATCTACTCTCCTCCAGTTGTATAAACAGGGTCGCCATGTCTCTGTCTGCAGGTCTCAATCGAGGAGATGGGCCTTTATGAGGATATCTCTGGAGCAGGAGCCTCAGTGCAGGTTAGAGTGCCTTCTGCTGGTTGTTTATGTATTTGTGTACTGTCCCTTTTCAGTGAATGTTTTTTATGTGCTCATGACTGTGTGTATCACTCTGTGTCTGTATCTGTTCAATCTGCCTTCTCAGCCCCAGTGTCAGGCACGTCAGGATGTGGAGAAGGCAATCTCGTTGTTTGGGAGCACAGGAAGGATATCTGCCACAGTCATGGAGGCTAGGTACCCTACAAATACACCACCAGCATAACTTTCACAAATCACCTATTGAGATCAATGTACTGCATGACCTACTTATCCTGTTGTGTCCTACACTTTCTTTTTATGTTTTACCACACTCATACTCTTTTCCTACTCCAGCATTTTCAGAAGGCCTTATTTCCTGACTCGTTTCCTCCCTGCCCTCCTATCCCCACGTGTGGTAAGTCTTATGCTCTCTTGCTTTAGATTGACTGAATGGTGTGTTTACATGGTCTGTCCAATATTGTATTCTTTGTCTCGGCCCATTTCAGCTTCCTGTGAAGCCTGATGACAGGATGAATTTCATAGATTCACTCAAAAAGTATGTTCTGGCATTCAGACTCAGCCATACAACCACTCACCACACAGTTTTCTGTCATCTCTTTGAAACTGATACAGATGTTTTTTGTATGTTGATTCCAGTTGTTTGTTGTTCAAATGGTTTTCTGTTGTCTACTAGAGCGGAAAAGATCCCAGCTGCCCAGCACTCCTCCTACATAGAGTCCTGTCAGAGAGAGAGACAGAGGCAACAGGACAGTGTGTACCATCACATTATACCATGTTTAACACCCTACGCATTTTAATATAATCATATATTTAATATTAGCTTATTCCACACTAAGCACCACTGTAGTCATATATCTCTGTGCTTTTGTCCATGATTGAAGAGCTCTGTTTTACCTGTGGGTTATCAGGTAAAGGAGTCTCTGTGGGGAATGATGATGATAACCCGCAGGAGGTTCTACAGGTCCAACTACAGGAACATAGAGCCCTGCTAACAGAGGGGGGCAGTGATGGAGGTGAGCAGACTGCAACACACACACATACACACACACACATCAAACCAAACCAAACCAGTCTTATTGTCTCTGACTTTACAGAGGTGTCAGCCCAGCTGGCCAGGATCTCGCACACTCTGAGTATTGTGTTCCCTGAACGTGCTGAGGAACTAGTTGGCCAGGCAGTCATCAAGCTTCATGTAGATGAGTCTACTTTCCCTGAGCTGCACAATAAAGTAGGAAGGAATGCGAGGAACTTCTGTATTTCTCTCTTTCTTCTGCTGTTTTCCCTCTGCTCTGTCTCACCTTTTCGTTTCCTACTCTATTTGTCTGTCTGTCTGTCTAGTTATTTGTGCTGGCCACACTCTCTGTCTCTCACACTGTCCTGTCTTTGTTCAGGTGGTGAACATGATCCTGAGGAGCTTCTGCCAGAGCCTTTTGGATGCCTCCAGAATAAGCCCACCAAATAAGTGAGGAACTAATCATGTCACTCAGTAAAAACCTGAAAGATGTATGGAAGAGTGAGATTTGAAGAAAAATTATACAGAATCGTCCCCCATTTTTGTTTTGTTTATCTGCACATTGTCGTGTATATTATATGTGCTTCTTAAAGGCGGTGCGTGGTCAATCCGACGTCTGCATTGGCCGTGCAACATTTGCGGTGATACGGCCTCTGCAGAAGTCAGGGCATTCATACTTTTTGCGCTTCGCGGAGCAGTACAGAGCTGTTATGAAGGAAGTTGTCAAGGAAGTGAGTTTGTGTTTATACAGGACCTCCTGCCCCCACCTACCGTCAACCAATCATGACAATGCAGAGCTATATGGAGCCCTCCGCATTGTTAAAACATTTGGGAGGCGCACCGTGATGCGGTACGGAGCTCAATTTGGCCTCTGCATGCCTCCGGAGGCTCTGCAATTGTGTCACACACTCCATACGGAGTCTCCAAACACATTTTCAGATCAAGCATAAATTGGCTCTTATCCTCCACCACTGAAACGCACGTCAGCATTAAACTGCACTCTCATTTGAGTTTAATGTGATCTGTGACCCAAGACAGAGCCCCTGGGCATCCCCGTTTGTCAACATCCTGCTGGGACACAGACAGCTGCTCACTGCCCTCCTGCATCGCATGTGGGACCTGCTCCACAACCAGGTATCCATCTCTCTTTCTCTCTCATAAATGTTTTAATGCGTCTTTCTTTCTCTCGCTCTCCTTTTTACCTCTTTCTTACCCCCCTCCCCTTCTCTCTGCCCTTTTTCTAACTACAGTCATCTTCTATCCTTTTCTATAGGGGGCATCATTGAGTGCTGCACATGTACTTGGACTGGCAGCGTTTGTTGTGCACCTTCATGCCTCCCAGGCCCAGTGCCCCCAGGTGCAGCTGTGCCCTCCCCTGCTGCCCGGCCCTGTGTCAGTACCAGAGGCACTGACCACTGCTCTGCCCTGCACCACCCAAACCAACATGCTCTTCTGTGTTAGGTGGGTGAGACTGGAGAGGGACCTTCAGCATCTAGGATTACATGATGATAATTATACAGTGTATTGTAAACCAAAAGGCACAGTTAACTTTAGTTCAATAGGACAGTGTTATCAGAATATTTATTTATGTGGACAGCTTTGTTTTTGTTTGCCAGGTTCTGCGTGGCTGCAGTTTGCTATGGTCTCTGCAGGAGTGAGTCACTGTGTGAACAGCCGCAGCAGCAGCAGTATAATCCCTGCGGCCTCTATAAAAAGGTATGCACGTTATTCTCCCAGTGTCACTGAAATTATGCTCTCTCTTATCACCCAGCCACACTCTGAGATGCCCTTTATGCAAGCAGCAGGGGGCTGGTATTTTAGCAGAATGTCACATACAGTTGGCCTACAGTTGTACCTCTCTGCTTGACTGCACAGATCCATGTCCTGCCTATTCCTGAGTGTGTGTTTTGTATTTGGTATTTGTAGCTGCTGTACCTAATTCCCAGACTAATGCCAGATGTGAGGAGGTTGCCCATTGAAGCGAGTGGGGAATCTGAGTATGTGGGGGCAGACAAACAGGGTGAGGAGGAGAATTGTGGGTTGTGGAAGAACGTTACTGACACAAATACGACCTGGAGGAAGTCAGCCTGGGCGCTATGGAAACACGCCCCCTTCCGTCTCTTAGTAAAATTCCCAGAATACCAGGTGAGGAAAACTGTCTAAACATTGGCTTAAAGCTCCACCAGCCTTCTCAGCACATTGACATGTCTGCTTCTCATTTACTTGGAGACGTTCTAATTTCTTCTTTGTCTAGTTCTCATTTTCAGAGTGGCTGGCAGCTGAACTCAGAGTTCAGAGGAGTGAGGATGCCCTGTCTGACCCAGATAGGTGAAGAACATGCCTAAATAAGCTGTGCACACACACACACACACATTCATATAAAAGTTTCAGTATATGTTGATGTGTTTTTGGTATTTTATTAGGGTCCCCATTAGCTGTTGCGAAAGCAGCAGCTACTCTTCCTGGGGTCCACATGAAAAATTACATAATACATAATATTAATAGACAAGAACACCTCAAGGACAGAACTAAATACATTTAAGAACGGCACACAGCCTACATATCAATACATAGACACAAAATACACTACATGACCAAAAGCATGTGGACACCTGCTCGTCGAACATCTAATTTCAAGATCATGGGCATTAATATGGAGTTGGTCCCCCCTTTTGCAGCTATAACAGCCTCAACTCTTCTGGGAAGGCTTTCCACTAGATGTTGGAACATTGCTGCGGGTACTTGCTTCCATTCAGTCACGAGCATTAGTGAGGTCGGGCACTGATGTTGGGTGATTAGGCCTGGCTCGCAGTCGGCGTTCCAATTCATCCCAAAGGTGTTCGATGGGGTTGAGGTCAGGGCTCTGTGCAGGCTAGTCAAGTTCTTCCCCAAACTGTTGCCACAAAGTTGGAAGCACAGAATTGTCTAGAATGTCATTGTATGCTGTAGCGTTAAGATTTCCCTTCACTGGAACTAAGGGGCCTAGCCCGAACCATGAAAAACAGCCCCAGACCATTGCCGCCAAAAAGTGTGTTTTATCACTCCAGAGAACACGTTTCCACTGCTCCAGAGTCCAATGGCAGCAAGCTTTACACCACTCCAACCGACGCTTGGCATTGCACATGGTGATCTTTGGCTTGTGTGCGGCTGCTCGGCCATGAAAACCCATTTCATGAAGCTCCCGACGAAAAGTTATTGTGCTCACGTTGCTTCCAGAGGCAGTGAGTGTTGCAACCGAGGACAGACGATTTTTACGCGCTTCAGCACTCGGCGGTCCCGTTCTGTGAGCTTGTGTGTTCTACCACTTCGCGGCTGAGTAGTTGTTGCTCCTAGACGTTTCCACTTCACAATAACAGCACTTACAGTTGACCGGGGCAGCTCTAGCAGGGCAGAAATTTTACGAACAGACTTGTTGGAAATGTGGCATCCTATGACGGTGCCACGTTGAAAGTCACAGCTCTTCAGTAAGGCCATTATACTGCCAATGTTTGTCTATGGAGATTGCATGGCTGTGTGCTCAATTTTATACACCTGTCAGCAACGGGGAGGTTAAGGAATGATTTGTACCAAATACAATGCTCTTAGTTTTAGAGATGTTCAGGACCAGTTTATTACTGTCCACCCATTGCAGAACTGACTGCAACTCCTTTTTGAGAGTTTCAGTGACTTCATTAGCTGTGGATGCCAACACATATATGGTTGAATAATCAGCATACATGGACACAAAGGATTTGTTTAATGTCAGTGGCAGGTCATTGGTAAAAATAGACAAGAGTAGAGAGCCTAGTGAGCTGCCCTGCGGTACACCACACCCTACATGTTTGACATTAGAGAAGCCTCCATTAATGAAAGCCCTCTGAGTTATATTAGCTAGATAGCTCTGAATCCACATGGTTGAAAAGCCATAAAACATAAGCTTTCTCAACAACAGGTTATGGTCAATAATATCAAAGGCTGCACTGAAATCTAACAGTACAGCTCCCACAATCTTCTTACTATCAATTTCTTTCAAACAATCATCAGTCATTTGTGTCATTGCAGTACATGTTGAGTGCCCTTCTCAATAAGCATGCTGCAAGTCTGTTGTCAATTAGTTTACAGAGAAATAGCATTGTATTTGGTCAAACACAATTTTTTTCCAACAGTTTGCCAGAGAACTGGCAGCAAGCTGATACGTTTGCTGTTAGAACCAGTAAAGGCCGCTTTACCACTCTTGGGTAGCGGAATGATTTTGGTTTTCCTCCAGGCCTGAGGACAAACACTTTCCTCTAGACTCAGATTAAAGATATGACAGATAGGAGTGGCCAGCGTCAGCTACCATCCTCAGGAGTTTTCCATCTAATTTGTCAATGCCAGGAGGTTTGTCATTATTGATCGAAAACAATAATGTTGCGTACTGGTATGTAACAGAGCCTGCGTGTGTATCAGACAGGAGTATCAGCAGTGGGCGTGTCAGCAGCTATACCTGCCGTCTCCTGTGGACCAGGGGGGCTGTGCAGGAGACATAAGGAAAGTCTGCTCCCATATTTTCAACGCTGTCATGGACCAGCAGACAGTATGGTCAGTATGATTTTGGCTTATGGCCACCTGCACCTCAGATCATCCTGATTATTTGAATAATAGACATGGTTGAGTTGTTTAGTCTGTATCTCCTCTCTTTGTGTCCTAAGTGCTCAGACCCAGGAGAACACTGATCACAGACCCTCGGTGGCAGGCACCTGTCTCCCAGACATTCTGTCCAGACTTCAGGTACAGTACACAGGCCTTTTGATTGATTTATATGTTTGTTTCTGTATATGATTCCTGTTAATGTTTGCACTGATGTTTGCACCGTGGTCCTCTGTAGCTCAGCTGGTAGAGCACGGCGCTTGTAACGCCAAGGTAGTGGGTTCGATCTCCGGGACCACCCATACACAAAAATGTATGCACGCATGACTGTAAATCGCTTTGGATAAAAGCGTCTGCTAAATGGCATGTTATTATTATTATTATGTTCCTGTGTGTGTGTATGTGCCCTTTGTCTTTATAGGAGATTGTCTATGAGATGGAGCTCACTAGTCGCTCTCAAAGGACTCAAGATAAGAATGGACATTTCCTATTGGATCTGATTTCACATAGATGCTCTGTGACCTCTGACCTGCAGAGTATCAGCAGTGAGCTTAGCCTTCAGCAAACACTACATACATGGAACAGGTAATGTACTGACACACATACACATCCTCTATACAAGGGCTGTGGCGGTCATTAAATTGTCAGCCGGTTATTGTCATGCAAAAGACTGCCGGTCCCACTGTAATTGACCGTTAATTAGCATAAACATGTTTAGCATCTCCAGGCCTCCACGCATACAAGCCGCTGATGCACACTTTTGTAACATCTACATTTTAAAAAAAGTATAATAACTACATTTAATATACACCATCACAATAAATCCATTACTTTTTTTACGCAGGTTTTAGAAACACGACATGAAGAAAATGTATTTCAGAAGAACCGAATATGAGTTGGCCTACTATATGTTATCTGGCTATGCGTCCTGCTGTAGGCTTGTTAATTTAGCAGACAAGATATGCTTAAGTCCTGTGCCATTATTTTATATTATGATATTATAGTAAGAAGAATATAATTGAACTTAGATGAATAAAATAGAAAGGCAATTTTTCCCATTCCGGAGCGATTGCGCATATGAAGTGGCTATGTTGAGTGTAAAAGTGATAATTTGAAACCGGTCCTATACGCTCAATTTAGAGTTATTTGGCAACTTTAATCTCGTCTTTACTAATATGTCAAATTTGTTTCGATTTAGAATGGCCCATTATCAAATGGGCAGGAACGGGAAAAAATACATGCACTCGAAAGCAAATGGAGGCCGCTTTCTCGTCGGTTTGTTTTTCAATCATGCCCGGTAGGCTACTCTGGTGATTTCACCCCACATATCAACCACTGTTTGAGGAGCATGCAGCCTCTCGCGATATTTCGCCCAAACTCTGTATGCCATGGGCTCTCCAACCCTGTCCCTGCAGCTACCCAGTGCTTAATTTGTCTGGAAGAGCTGAGGTGAGAGACCAGAGTCAAATCTGTTCGGGAACATCAATAGTAACATGTTTTCACAAGGAAACGTATTTCAATAAACTGTTGACAACTCCTCTCTGCGCGCTGGAGAAAGGAATAAATGAAAGAGGGGAGGAGATGGAAACTCACTGTGGTGAGATATTCTGTAGCTAAAGGTAATGTCAGCCTATTAATTATGAAAATATAAACATTCCATATTACTAGGCTATTCAAAATAAAATACAAATGCACTATAATTGTAGGCTAAATCTGTAAGCCGCCCGGCTAGACCAATTATGTACCAAATAGATCTTAAATATTTTTTTTCTAAATGTTTTTCGGCCGTGCCTATCTGTTGTATAACAGCACAATCATTATTTTAATTCAGGTTAATTTTTTTTGGGCTTGGGCTCATGTATAGGCCTATGCGTATTTATAAGCTCTAATATGCGTATTTATAAGCTCTAATATGCATATGGGTGTTTTGAATTAATCATCACTTTAGAAAGAAAGCGCTGTCCATTTCGTTGTTAGCCTTTGAAACAACATAGACAATGACCATGTTTTCCACTCAGTTTCAACGTGTTGTTGAACATCACTCTTCAAATTGATCAATCAGAGTGAGGTGTTTTTAAAAGCACAGTAGTCATGAGTCTAGGTGGGTCTGAGGACTGCTCTACACCAGTGTGAAAGTGTGTGTGTATTAACTTAACAAAACGTGTGTTTGTGTATCATAGGGTTATACTGGCACTCCCTGCAGTCATGTTGGTTACAGTGAAGACTGGAGGAGGGAAGAGGACTCTGGACTGTGAGACCCTCATGGAACATATCAACCAGTATCAGGTATGCCACAATGGGGGTTGAGAGAGGGATGCAGGGAGAGGGGGATGGAGTATGACAGAACGTGGTGATTTAAGATTTAGATGAATTAATCATTAATTCAAGCTAATGTATTGTAGCTACAGTCTGTGTGAATCAATCCATAGTTCACTTCTCATCTTGACCAAACCTGTAGAAGTCGAGATCTGTTTTACAGAAACCACCTACTATAGATGCGTTTTCCCAGATTTGATCATTATCGTTATACAGTATCTCTTTGTGTATCAGAGGAAGGGCTGCTCCCCAGCTGGACTGCTGCCCTACCACCTCACAGCACACTTCTTAAAAGTAAGTTCCACTCACAGATTATTAACTGTACTGCTATAGACCTGGGTAGACGGTGTTAACAACATATTGTGATATTTGTGGTATGAAATGTCATTGTCTCCCCTCTCATAGGCTGTGCTCATGGCCAGTGTGAGCTGTGACTGTCCATCAGGAGAAGTGAACAAGGCCATGTCCCTGATCAGTCTTCAATGTCCACTGCTCCTCGTCTCTGCCGGGGTACCGTACATTATACTAACAGGATCACGTCTGATTTATTAATCTGAGAGTTTTAACGTATGATGCCGACTGAGTGTAATTTGTGTGTGTTGGGCAGCACTGGTGGGGCCGTCTCTCCCCTGTATTGGTGTCTCTCTGGCATCGCCTCACTGACGGACAGCCCCTGCCTCAGCAGCTGCAGGTCCTGGCTGATTGTCACTTGTGGGTCTGCAGGTAAAACAGGATAATGCGTACATGCCTGTGTATATAGAGAGCATTTACTGATAATACTGTTTTACAAACTAAATATATGATTGATTGTGTTCTTTGTCCTGTCTCCTTGGCAGTTCAAAGAATGGGGTGTCATGCCCTGTCCCCTCTGCCCCGCCCCTGCTCCTGGCAGCTTGTCTGCACTGTGTATGGGAAGGCCAGGGGAGTGGCCAGGTCATCAGGACAAGCCTGGAGATGTTGGGACAGCTGACAGAGCAGCACAGACAGGTAAGGACACTTCTCTTCTCTATCACAAAGTGTTTCAAACTCAACCTAGATGTTTGTTCAAAAGGTTCACTAGCCATGTTTGTAAGCCCCAATTGAGAAAATCTATTTCACAGCACTTAAAGGAGGTCAAAGTACACTGAAAAAAAATCCCCATTTACGTAGGTTTCTTGGGATATATAGGTTTCTTGGAATATATTCTTGGAATGTATTGTTAGTTGTGACTCATTAGTAAAACACTGACACTCACATGCTCATAACTAACCTTTGGCCTCACACAAACACAGTTTCTAATTCATGATTTAGGAGTAGAGACACTCAGATGATTAGGGAATTAACTTAGCAGTTTTCTATTAGAGACGTGATCATTGTCACGAGACTCCATTTTGTCATTATAGTAGACACCAGGGAAACTGCCATGTAACCTCAACTAATTTGTGCTGCCATTTGTCCCCAGCTGCTGGTGTTTCTGCTGTTCCTCTGTGTGACCGACCTCCTCACAACTTTTCTCACGCCCCAGGTACATTTACATTTTAGTCATTTAGCAGACGCTCTTATCCAGAGCGACTTACGGTTAGTGCATTCATCTTAAGAAAGCTAGGTGAGACAACAGTCATAGTAAGTAACATTTTTCGTCAATAAAGTAGTTATTAGCAAAGTCAGTGCTAGTAGGAAAAGACAAGTACAAGTTTTTTGTGGGGGGGGTTGCTGTGGGATTTAGTCAAGATACTGAAGAGGTGGGTTTCGGAAGATGGGTAGGGACTCGGCTGTCCTGACATTAGGGGGAAGCTTGTTACACCATTGGGGTACATCATTCCTACACCTTAAGGCCAGAAGTTTTTCCTGGCTAGGGCACATGGTCAGGGAACTCCTAGCCCAGGGGTTCCCAAACTTTATGGGCCCGCGACCCCATTTTGATATTATACTTTCTTTTGACCCCACCATGTAAAAAAACTTTTGTAATCAACGGCCAATGTTTACTTTTTTAATTGGGGCTATGACAGTCTATTACAAATCAGTCAGACAGTAGTTTTGACAGTATTTTAATCTGAAGGAAGTATGGTTTGAAGTGACAGAAATGCATCAGAAAGGTATTGGCAAGTTCAGGCAATAATTTTGTATGATCTTCTGTGAAGAAAAGAACATCATCATTGATGTTATTTTCCCCTCCAGTCTGTTCTGAGTCCTGCATGGCCGGGAGTCTGCACGGCTGGGAGTTCCTGGGAGGTTTATCTTTCAGTGATGGGGTCATATTTTGTAGCTTAAACTGTTGAAAAGATAGACACATTTGTAGTAAGAAAACAGAAACCACTCTGTTTATTACAACCGCATCTAGCTGCTACCAGAGTGACATAACCCTGGTTCTATGAACCAAGCACGTTTTTTTAGAATGTTATTTCAGAGTTTCTCTCGCAATACCATTTTCAAATCATTCGACCCCTAGTTTGGGAAACGCTGTCCTAGCTCTACATACTCAACAGTGTAACAGTAACGTATTCAACAGACTAAAACACATTTTCTACTAACAAAACATCACAATTACAACATTTATCATACAACTTGTGTGTGACATGCAACACATAGGGGGTGAAGGGCCTGCAGAGAGCTCAGGAACTCTGTAAAGATATCCTGACTGTCCTTGTGGACTCTGCTGACTGGCTGCTACTATTCAAGTCACCTTGCTCTGGTACAGTATATCACTTGCTTATTTACAGTAGCCCCTAGCTTTGTCCCATTTTGTGTCTCTGTGAGGTTATATTTGGTGTTTTATAATATATTGTTTTTCCTATTCAAGAAAAAGGCCTATACCAGCCTGTGGCCGTGGTAACATCAGATGAATACACAAGACTGATGCCTTTAGCCTTTTACAGGTATATTTACTTGGTGGTCAAACTGTCAATGTTGTCATCCATTTTCTCATTTATATGTGAGTTCTGTATGTGTGTATTGTGTTTCCATGCCAGCCTGGTCCCCCATCTTAACTCTGAGGTATTGGCGAAAACAGTGAAGGCCCCAGGGTTCCTCCACACTGCTGTGCTCTGCTACTCCTCCCTTATCAAGCTCTTTATGGATGGCCAGACTCCCTGCCCAGTGACTGAGCACCCGACTGACCAGGTGAGCTTATTTTGAAATGCACAAAAGCACAGATAATCATGTTTATTCATCAGACTCTGTCACTGTGGTTGACTGGTATGTGGTCACCAAACTACTGACTGGCATTTTTCTGAATCTGCGTTTTGGTCTCACAGATGGACCCCTCACACATTCTGACTAGGGCCCAGCAGGTGCTTCTGAAGACCATATCTCTGACATCCCCAACCTCAGTGTCTCAACATCAGCTGAACCAGGTAACACATTCGTGCACTGACCACCCAGAGTAAGGCTGATCTCAGTCTGTAGCCCATAGAGTAGTACTGGGTTGAAATCAGATGGAGATGACATCATGAGACATTTATTAGATTTTCACAAACATCACACAACTACAGCCTATGATTTCTTTCTGGGCTTTACCTTGCATCAGACTCCGGTTTTTACCAATGGCTCTCAAAATCCAAAAGAATGATATACCCTGATACTTCCTTTTGAACTACACAATACCCTTCTTGTGACCCTTTCTCTCTCCTGTTCCTAGCTGGAGGCCTTATGTGTTGACCTGGACCCGGAGGTGGCAGCAGCTCTGGTCTCTCACCTCAGCTCTTTCAGCCTCAGCCCAGAGCTGGACTTCCTGTGAATGGATGGATATGAGTCTATAGGCACACCACGGACTGTTACTGACACTTCAACTTAGCTTCCTTCATGAACAAGATATGTAAAGATGATTAGTGTGGGTCCGAGAGGACTTGGTCTTTGTCCTCCCATGAAAAATATACTTGGATAGCTACATTATAATGTTGCCTTTAGGTTATGTGGTTGGCAGTTGTATTTTATTTGTATATTTATTTTGTGTGTGTGGGGAAGGGATTGTGGTTTTGGGAGCACATTATTAACTGGGTGGTTTGAACCCTGAATTCTGATTGGCTAAAAGCCATAGTATATCAGACCGTATACCACGGGTATGACAAAACGTTTAGTTTTACTGCACTAATTACATTGGTAACCAGTTTATAATAGCAATAAGGCTCCTCGGGGGTCTGTGAAACATGGCCAATATACCACGGCTAAGGGCTGTGTCCAGGCACTCCGCGTTGCGTCGCGACTACGAACAGCCCTTAGCCGTGGTAAATTGGCCATATACCACACCTCCTCCGGCCTTATTGCTTAATTGTAGAAAGATACCTGTACACAGAAGAGCCTGATCACTTGTACAGCTGTTTAAGTTTTACCAGCCTTTCTGAATGTTTAAGGAATACAAGTTAATTTGTGTAGATCAATGCTTTTTAAAATTAATTTGTCATTCATTTTCCACTATCAAGTATGCTGTGGGTTTAGAGCAGGTATGGGCAACTGACGGCGGCCATAAAACCACAACATTTTCTCTATGTCCCATGGCAAAATTTGTAGAATTGCACGAAATTAACTCTAAAACATTTTTGCATGTGTGGGTATGGATGTGGGTACGCGGCACTGGAAACCACACACCTCACACCTGAAAGTAAAGACAAAAAGCCTTAATGAGGGTGCCAAATACAAGCTTGCATTCTCTTGTGTTCCTATCCATCTCTTCCATTATTACTGACTCACCCAAATCATACCACATAATCAAAGGCTTGGCTAACTCCTGACAGACTCACCAGTGCTTGAGCCCCTCACACCACAAATCAGCAGAACCTTGCCTCCTGATATGAGCTTTATCTCCCCCTGTACTTACTGTAGTGGCTTGACCCCTGAGTGGCGCACAGACAGGTGCTTCCTCTGCTTGAAGGTCTGACCACATTGGTCAGATGTAGTTCCTGACCTCTATAAAAAGGAGAATGGTCTAACTTAAAACCAACACATGTTGGGTGTGTCCCAAATGGCAACCTATTCCCTTTATAGTGCATTACTTTTGAACAGACGACCAATTGGGCTTTCAAAAGTAGGTAAAAAGTAGTGCACAAATAAGAAATAGGGTGCCTTTTGGGACACACACAAACACATCTCTCAGTCTCCAGTATAAGCGCTGTGTCCAGTCCAAATCTACCTGTGTGAATGAGTTTGACGTGTCGCTGCAGGTAGCGGTCAATCATGAAGACCTTGTTGCAGCTAGGGTGAGGGCAGGGCCGCTCGCAGACCTCTTCATGGTGCTCCTTAATGTGTTTTTGTACCCCAGAGATTTAAAAAAAGCACTCAGAAAACGAATGTACCAACAGACATGTTCATGGTCATAAGAGGATAAACAGTGCTGTAAGGAGGACCTTCATGCCGTCTGCTCCTCTGTACACAGCTCAGCAGCCCAGGTACGGGCATTTGTAGATATTGGGCAGCTCCTCTCTGAAAACCAAAAACAAACATGGATACTACACCTCAATCCAAATGTCTTATGTATTACTCACCACTACCAGCTCCACTCCAATTCGTGATTAAAATCAAATCTGTTTTGGTGCTTTGCCCCCCCCAGACAGCTTGTACCGTACCTTTCTGACTTGATTGGCTTCTTCCAGCCAGGCTTGGTTCCTGGCTTATTTCTAACTTTAGGCTCCTTGGGGGTCTTTGTTTATTTTATTCTGGTTCCCTTCTTCTGGGAATGAACTCTGCAAGGCATGGGAAAAGGGAGAAAACACTGAAAATGTCAAAGCCATGATGCCCTTTTTCCGCTACTAATCTTGCTCTGATAAGAGATCTTTCTGTCCACAGATGTGTTACTATGTATTATTGTGTGTATCATTACAAATTGTTCCACACATTGTACATTATTTTTCTTCGATATGCAAAATAGCTAGACCTGAGGGGGCCCAGATTTTAGTAATTTAGCAGACGCTCTTATCCCTGCTGCCTTGAGATCATTGACAAGATCCTCCTGCGTAGTTCTGGGCTGATTCCTCACCGTTCTCATGATCATTGCAACTCCACGAGGTGAGTTCTTGCATGGAGCCCCAGGCCGAGGGAGATTGACAGTTATTTTGTGTTTCTTCCATTTGCGAATAATCGCACCAACTGTTGTCACCTTCTCACCAAGCTGCTTGGCGATGGTCTTGTAGCCCATTCCAGCCTTGTGTAGGTCTACAATCTTGTCCCTGACATCCTTGGAGAGCTCTTTGGTCTTGGCCATGGTGGAGAGTTTGGAATCTGATTGATTGATTGCTTCTCTGGACAGGTGTCTTTTATATAGGTAACAAGCTGAGATTAGGAGCACTCCCTTTAAGAGTGTGCTCCTAATCTCAGCTCGTTACCTGTATAAAAGACACCTGGGAGCCAGAAATCTTTCTGATTGAGAGGAGGTCAAACACTTATTTCCCTCATTAAAATGCAAAATGTATAACATTTTTGACATGCGTTTTTCTTGATTTTGTTGTTGTTATTCTGTCTCTCACTATTCAAATAAACCTACCATTACAATTATAGACTGATCATTTCTTTGTCAGTGGGCAAACTTACAAAATCAGCAGGGGATCAAATACTTTTTTCCCTCACTGTAACATTTGATTTGATTTGATTTGGTGGTGGGCCCAGGACACCAGGCTGTGGAGACACTTTGGATAGGAGGGGATGGAGGGTGCTGGTAGAGGAGAGGTGGTTGTCAGGTTGGCGGTAAAATAAATGGGACATTTAGTAACAGTGGTTATAACCATGAAAGCCATCTGCGTACCAAAATCTGGTAATCATCTTGTCCCGATGGAATGTATCAACTTATACAACAAGATGGGATCCACCGTTGATTGAGAGCACTCTGAAGTCTTCCTGAAACCAAAATCAATATATCTATCATGTTATGGTTTCACTGCTGTTTTGGGCCAGATTTCCAGACTTGCTCATTGTTGACCCTCATATGTTTACAATTTCCGCTCTCTACATTGTGACATTAGTTGTTTTCCTCACCTGTCTGGTGTGCACATTCACAGAGGGTAAGATGTTTACCCTCTGCAGAAATGTGAGCAGGATAGTGTGGCACTTGCAGAATTTTGTGTGGCAGTTCTTGCAGACAAACTGAGAGACGTAGATCACGGTTAAGTGGCACTGCAACTAGGCGCTGAAAGTCTATGTAGAAAAGCAGTGGCGACTGGGCTGGTTCTGTCTGGTCAGGGACCCCCTCCGGCTCCCCTGGCCACTTGTTGAAGGCATGCCGCAGCCTCCAAGGTGAGAGCTTTCCATGACAGTCGACAGAATGCAGTGCTGAGTCTGCCCATACCTGTAGGATCAGTCAAGGAAGTAGGTTGCATTTGAGAAAGTTTAACAGCTGATCCTTTACCTTATGGAGGTAAAACATCTGACAACAACCTATCATTGACCTCAAAATCTTGACTGCTGCTGTCAAGAATTTTGAAGGGGACTCACCTGATTTCTTGATGTATGCTCTGGACGCTCCTCCCCTTCTGTCTCCACAGCTGACACTGTTGTGCTCAATTGTAATCTTGCAGATCTGTCACTTGTACCAACATCCTCGAAACCTCTATCACATGCGACTGATGGCGAAGTTATCTTTGCAGCATTATTATTGGTTCTTCCTCGTCGCCGAGCAGGTTTCTTGACCCCTGCAACTGACTGAGTGTGGCTTTTCTGTACTGCTGCCACATTGGAAAACCGCGCACGCCTCACTCTCTTCTTCATAACAGTCCTAAAGAGGATACGGAGGATCCTAAAGGAAAATCCTATCAAGATAATGTGGCAGTAGCTTTCATGGGGAGCTATCCATAAAGCTGTTTATAACCCAAAGTTGGGTTCAAAGCTGCAGCTGCGACTTCCAATGAGGAGAACACGATTCGCCTCAAATTCTAGCAGTCATATCTAGTTTAACCACTGGTGGTTTAGTAAAATATACATGGTCGTTTTTAACAGTAACACAATATCGTTAAGCACGAACTGGCAACAGTTTATATTGTAAACAACGAAACCCGGAAGTAGTAAGAAAATAATAAACATCAAAGAACCACCAGACTGCAGAGTGCATATCCGGAACATTGAGTGGTCACTCACAACGACCGGAGCAGCTGGCGCTGACGGTGCAATGAAGCCCGTTCAAAATGCCATGAAAATGGCTAAAGTGGCTATACAATTGGACGCAGGGAACCGACACAAGGTATTATAATGTCTATCTTTCAATAGATTTACAATTACAGTGGCGAACAAGTTTTATAGCCAAGATATAAATGCTTAATCGTTGATGTAAACAATCCACAAAATAGGCGGGGCTATCCGATGCCAGCTGCGGTCAATAGTGTGCTATTGCGGCCTGAAATTCGGAACGTTCATGCATGTGGGCATTCCTGCATTTGCAGGAACACCCCCTTTTCGAGCATCCTATTGGTTCCTGCTTGTGTTTAAGTGACTTTTTATATTCTAGATTTCCCTGATTGTCCATGGGATTAAAATGTGGGTCAAAAGGGAAATTATCAGAGTTTTTCGTTTAGCCTATGCCATTGTAGTATAATACATGTGCAACGTTTTATCTTAAAATTGATGCATAATCTGTTGATGCGTTGGATAGCAGATAGGTGCTTTTTGCAACGCGGGTGTATTTGCATACACTAGTGTAGCCAATTCATAGATCCTAAGAATGGGCCTGACCCTAGCTTTATGCTTGTTTACACTGAGCTGCACTGGGATCAGAATGCAATTGTGGTTACATTAAGACACCCTGTAATCAGATTAAAGATACTTTTGAAAAACTAGATGATTACTTTTGAGAGAGAAAATATTTGTTCCGCTTTAGCGAGTATGACCACAAGTCAGAGACCACTATGATTACACACCAAATGCGTTTGATGGATAGTATGAAAAGAGCAGGAATTGGCTTTTGTAGGCTACAGTCTGAGCAATGTCTTCATATGGTGTTACTCCTGTCGGCATGCAAAGATGATCCAATTTGAATAAATGCTTGGAGGTAAGTACAACAGCAGGGCTGTAGGCTACGGCTGATACGGATATCAAGTTATTGATATCTGCATATCGCATTGATGTGAATCGCACTGCTGCTCTTTCATTTAACTATTTGCGCCTTACAGATTGTGGTTGTTGTGGATGGCAGTTCACAAATGTATATGTGTATTTTAACTCTATAATGGTTGAATATAAGAAGTTTAAGCTGCCTATCAATCATTGTTTTTTGCGACCAGCGGACATCCAGTGAAAAATGCGCTCTTGCAACAGCTGCATAGTGCAGATCCCAGCCTATGGAATACAAGTTTGAGGGAGTTCCGATCAGGTAAAACAATTTCGCTAAAATATACTATACTGTATATATTCTGTACCCAATCTTCAAGGAAAATAGATTAAAAGGGAAGCGTGTTGCGCTCGTAGTAGATAAACTGTATTTTGACAACCAAATGTTCCGCGACACAGACTACTCCATGGCTATTCTTAAAGTTCTAATTGAGGAGTCGAATAATGGAACACCCAATACTAGCCATGATAGGGATTGTAATAATAAAACACATTTCTAGTATTTTATAAAGGGATAAAACGGCATTACAAGAAAGGTAAACGAGCGAAATAATACATCTTCAAATATAACTAATTAGAACACAAATACTCAATCAACATAGTGGAGATAAAAACATAGCAAACAGAAGACATAGAAGGCACAGTATGTGGGGATGTATTTTTATGTGTTTGGTTTTTGTGTTTGGAAAAGTGTGGCGTTAAGTGAGTGAGAAAGGAAATGGTTGCATATCCCAGAACCAACGTGTGTCTGTGAGCAGGGGTAGTGAGAGAGACCTTTCAATTTTGTGCAGATGAGGGATATACATTTTAAAATAAAGTATACATCTAATTTATTTATTTATTGTCCTATCATGATGGAACGGTCCCCAACCCTATATCCTAGACACCCACCTGAGCTATCCATACACCAAAGAGAAGTCCCCATCTGTTTTATGTCCCTACTGTATGTTGCCTATATGCAGCCAAAACAGAAAGATAAATGCGGTCAAAGACCTACTAGAGCAGCACCGCCCCCTCAAGATTCTGAGCCTACCTGGCAGGGTTGGTCCTACAAAGCCAGAGCCCCCTGATGGGAGAGCATAATATATAGGGAAATTGTCAAGGCTGCTAATGAGAACCTTTACGACCTTGTACCTAGCTGATGGGGATTCCGGTGGGGTACACCCACCCAGGTAGTGGCAGTGCTGGCAACACTGGTTGCAGTAACCCATGGGGAGGGGGTCACACTCTGACAATCAGAGAGCGGGCATATTATTGTGGCCCTGGTGGCACAAAATAATCAAAGGTCAGACTGCACGGAGATGCTTGGGAAAAATGGTTACAACAGGGGACCAGAGTGTTTGTGTTTCAGGGGAAGAGGGTGGATCTGATCTCCATCACCTAGGACTTGACATAGGTTAATCAAATCTTAATTTTTTCTCAATTTTTGTTCAGTCTTGCATGTTTTCTCAAACAGCTGTAACTGTATATGCATTCATAAATCAGGTCCTTTCTTGAGTTGGGCTCTGGGATGTAACAACCGTTGAGCATCTGAGCTTATGGTTGATTGTGGAGGAAAGGGGTTGAGTGTGTGTGTGTATCCCATATCTGTTGCAAGGGGGTAAGGATGTTAGGGAGAATATAGGATGAACCACAATTGTTTGCTAAAATAATAATTGCTTGACAAAAATGTAATGTAATACAATGGCAATCCGGGTTATAGGTAACAATCCTTCGCATGAACTGCCAACATTATTACGCATATTAATTGATAATGATGGAAATTAAGATATGCAAGATATTTATTTATATATATATATATATACAGTGGGGAAAAAAAGTATTTAGTCAGCCACCAATTGTGCAAGTTCTCCCACTTAAAAATATGAGAGAGGCCTGTAATTTTCATCATAGGTACACGTCAACTATGACAGACAAAATGAGAATAAAAATCCAGAAAATCACATTGTAGGATTTTTAAATGAATTTATTTGCAAATTATGGTGGAAAATAAGTATTTGGTCAATAACAAAAGTTTCTCAATACTTTGTTATATACCCTTTGTTGGCAATGACACAGGTCAAACGTTTTCTGTAAGTCTTCACAAGGTTTTCACACACTGTTGCTGGTATATTGGCCCATTCCTCCATGCAGATCTCCTCTAGAGCAGTGATGTTTTGGGGCTGTCGCTGGGCAACACGGACTTTCAACTCCCTCCAAAGATTTTCTATGGGGTTGAGATCTGGAGACTGGCTAGGCCACTCCAGGACCTTGAAATGCTTCTTACGAAGCCACTCCTTCTTTGCCCGGGCGGTGTGTTTGGGATCATTGTCATGCTGAAAGACCCAGCCACGTTTCATCTTCAATGCCCTTGCTGATGGAAGGAGGTTTTCACTCAAAATCTCCCGATACATGGCCCCATTCATTCTTTCCTGTACACGGATCAGCCGTCCTGGTCCCTTTGCAGAAAAACAGCCCCAAAGCATGATGTTTCCACCCCCATGCTTCACAGTAGGTATGGTGTTCTTTGGATGCAACTCAGCATTCTTTGTCCTCCAAACACGACGAGTTGAGTTTTTACCAAAAAGTTCTATTTTGGTTTCATCTGACATTCTCCCAATCCTCTTCTGGATCATCCAAATGCACTCTAGCAAACTTCAGACGGGCCTGGACATGTACTGGCTTAAGCAGTGGGACACGTCTGGCACCTCAGGATTTGAGTCCCTGGCGGCGTAGTGTGTTACTGATGGTAGGCTTTGTTACTTTGGTCCCAGCTCTCTGCAGGTCATTCACTAGGTCCCCCCGTGTGGTTCTGGGATTTTTGCTCACCGTTCTTGTGATCATTTTGACCCCACGGGGTGAGATCTTGCGTGGAGCCCCAGATCGAGGGAGATTATCAGTGGTCTTGTATGTCTTCCATTTCCTAATAATTGCTCCCACAGTTGATTTCTTCAAACCAAGCTGCTTACCTATTGCAGATTCAGTCTTCCCAGCCTGGTGCAGGTCTACAATTATGTTTCTGGTGTCCTTTGACAGCTCTTTGGTCTTGGCCGTAGTGGAGTTTGGAGTGTGACTGTTTGAGGTTGTGGACAGGTGTCTTTTATACTGATAACAAGTTCAAACAGGTGCCATTAATACAGGTAACGAGTGGAGGACAGATGAGCCTCTTAAAGAAGAAGTTACAGGTCTGTGAGAGCCAGAAATCTTGCTTGTTTGTAGGTGACCAAATACTTATTTTCCACCATAATTTGCAAATAAATTCATAAAAAATCCTACAATGTGATTTTCTAGAAAAAATAATCTCAATTTGTCTGTCATAGTTGACGTGTACCTATGATGAAAATTACAGGCCTCTCTCATATTTTTAAGTGGGAGAACTTGCACAATTGGTGGCTGACTAAATACTTTTTTCCCCCACTGTATATAGGAGGTGCGAGCATTGGAAATGCTTTTGGCGGTTGACCTGATTCTGTTTTGTGGGTGGCACTGTGTGCTGTTTTCGAAGGATGGGTCCTGGCCTCTCGGGGGGCCTAGGGATCTGGGGGACGGGGGTGGTATGCCGATCACTGGGATGACAACCCAACTTGGGATGGGGAGGGGCTTTAGTGCGGGAAATAGTGGAGAACAATTGGAGGGTTACGTAGTAGCAATGCAAATATCATGGTACAGCTATATGGACACTCAATCAC